ATCATCGTCAGCAAATGTAAGTCGCCAACACCTCTCTCGACGTCGTACCCGCTTAGCCTAAACTCACGACCGCCGTATTTGCCGTGTCTAGCCGCGGTGGCCTAATCTCGTGTGCCTATTGTAACGAAAGGATATCCTATGTCAAACGCATGTTCGAAACCCCTTTAATTGTAATTCGTCGATTCATTTAATGTACAATATATTCAGGCGTCACATTCGTGACTGGCGCCCTTTCCTATAATAAATTCAGCCTCATTGTATTGTTACTGTTATACATGATCGAGTGGATTCTTTCGACACCCAGACTTTCCTCCTTCTTTACAGCACATAAAGATCTCGCCGAATCATTTGCTCGCGTCCCGAGGGCGAACGGTTACACTCTATAATCGCTCATATTACTTTAGGTAACCACGCGCTAGAACGTTGGGAGGAGGCTCACACGCCCTTGTTACTGTTACTACCGAACAACTTGATAATAGATTTCGAGGTTTACAAAGCTGCACAACAATTTCGGATATATGGTTCGAAGAAGCGAATTAGTGATAGACCATTGGAATTCAAGTGGGCAAACTGCAACATAGAAAATATCTTGCACTTTACATTTATTACGATTCCCCAATCGAACAACAAGATATATATATATATATCACGGAGTTAGCGATATAAAAGTCAGCGCCGAACTACAACCATTTTATCGAAGACCAGCAATCGAAGGCGTAATTTTGAACTCGCGTGGTTTCGGCATCGGAACCACGTTGACCAATCATAAAATGTCTTGAATTTCTTTCAATAACCCGTATTTTTAATTATTTGAGAAAATTCCCGAAGGTGCAAACCTGGGTGGAATGGAGCCTATTTAATTTTGGTGACGATACAATCTATGTCCTGTTTGGAATGCAGGCTAATTTTAGGGGATTTAAACTAGTATCAAGATATAGAACCATAATCCACAAGGCTGCCGAGTTGATGGATACCAGCACCACAACCTACAAGAGGGGCAATGATGACCCTTTGACGGAAAAAAAAAGATCTATCAATGAACACTTAACGATATGTCCATTACTTATCAGCATTGGGATTAAAAATTTTTTCAGATTTACAAGAATGACTACAAAGAATTCATTACCAATTTAAAAGTGCTGACTAAGCAGTATTTGGCGGATAAGCACCAGTACGTACTGGAGGTTATGTTCTATAAAGTCGTCCATGGTAGCAAGGGCAAAGTCAAGGATGGGTTGATAAAGTTGGGAGGCTGTCTCATCCAGAAACCGAAATCCATCGTGTCCATTCAGATACACCATGGATGCACAATCAAGGCCCTGAAGGGATCGTACACAGTGCTGAATTATGACCGCGTGTCCAAGGTATTGGGGAATGGTTACGTTTCACACCACTAGGTGGCGCCTGCCTGCGAGCGTCGCTCCCATAAGCGACCGAGCGCTGGTGAGCGTATATAGGCAGGCGTCTCCTACCGTGTGATCGATTGATGCAACAGCTTCTAAGAAGCAGAGTTGACACTCATATGAGCGAGTAGTGGTCGGTGAGCCATCACAGGTCGCCACGAAGCTCAACGAATAGCCGGTCGTGGGTCTACCCTAGGTCGCCGTGCTATTTGGAGAGAAAGACGGTCGCGAAGCAATAGTTTTGGTCGCCGTCGCTCGTCATAGGAGTGATCAGCTCTACTTAGCGCTGTTTTTTGTTATAAACAATTTGAGGATTCGAAGAGTCCAAGACAGTTGTATATAATCGGCAGTTCCGACAATAGAAGTTTATTGTCATTGAAGAGAGTCTGCCACATAACTTATAAAAGTTGTAAAAGTTATTGTGGTAAGACAAAGATAATTTTTTGGTTTTGTTAATTTTTGAACTTAAAGCAATTGTTAATTATTTTTTTGATTGAGTCCCCTTTGACTGCCATATTAAATTATTGATATTATATTATTGAAATCTATACTTATTAATAAAGACTTGTATATATATTTTAATCACTTTCTTTTGATTTTTTCACCCTTCCAACAACACAAGCAGATCAAGTAAAATATTTGAACGAGGTTTATGTTTTTGATTCGTATTGCAAAAAACAGGGAAACAGTTTGTGAAAGAAAATTAGTATTTTCTGAAACAAGTTGGTTTCTTTCACGGCTGCAGATGCCCGAGAGGATACCCGAGAGTTGCGTACGTTCACATCGACTCAAGTAAGAATCTACATATATTACTATGTATCTTTTTTAACCACTATTTTGAATTGTTTACCTAGTTCTTTTATACAGGCTTCTCGAGGCATAGCAGAAACCATTTATTGCTCGGATATTTTCTGACCGACAAATTTGCCTACGAAGGACAAATCTCGGAAGAAAGGAAGAGCAGCGAAAGGCATATTGCCCAACTAGCTACCTGGCTCGATAAGAGTCAGACATCGATGGACTGCAGGTTGGAGATCGTTCAGGTCATCGACAGTCACGAAGACCTATCGGTGTCCAATCATGTAATTCGGCGATGGTGATGCATGAAGGGGGAATGTGATTAAACAAGACTCGGAGACAAGAGAGCACTAGGCGGGGACATGTGGCACATTATGCGCGATTTGGCTCACGAGAGCTTCTTTCTTCTGATTCGAGGTTGGGAGAGATATGTGGACGTAATCATGCGTCCACTGGTAAATGTCCTCATCAATATGAAGAAACACTCTGTGCTGGGGTTGCTCCGTGAATACTTTGCTCTGGCGTACGGGTGCAAAATACTTTCAGCGTGCTTCGTGGAGGGTATGACCGAATGCTACGATCGCCGATACATCAATTCTCTATTGGAAAAAGACGACGGAGTAGTACGTACGTACAAATTAAAAAGTCACCTGCCAAACGACTTTTTCCAAGAACACAAGTACTACTTTTTATACATACATGGTACCGGGCCTGAGTTGCTGAGCTTTTTGTATTACAGCTTGATAATTTCTCTTTTGGATAGACACATGACATCTGGCGGTCGATTCGTGAACCAATACTACTCATGCTCGACGAGCTTGACTAATTTCACGATCGGTCGCTTGTACGTCCCTTTAGCGGTTGCAACGGTAACAGTGCGTACCAATCCATCACTGCCAGGGTGTACTCCAGCTACTCTGGCGAGTGGCCAGCGAGAGCAGGGGAGAATCTCGTCCTTTACTAGAACGATATCTCCTAGGACGAGGTTCTTATTTACTCTTAGCCACTTGGCTCTTTTTTGTAGCGTGAGTAAACATTCTGGGCACCAACGTTCCCAGAAGGCTTGAGTAATATGAGTTACTCGCTTCCATCGCTCCAAAGGGCCCAATTTTTTGTCTTTGAGCGAGGGTTCGTTGAGCACGATCGACGATTCACCGATGAAGGGATGAGCTGGTAAAAACACAGTGTTAGGCTCGAATCCATCAGGCGACGGAGTGAGCGGTGGCGGATTCAAGATAGCTTCGATCTGGGCCAGCAAAGTCGAAAACTCTTCGTATGTGAACAAATTATCACCAACCATTTGTTCAAGTAGTATATGACCGACTTGACTCCCGACTCCCACAAGCCACCAAAGAACGGCGCGCTTGGTGGATTGAAATGCCATGCGGTGCCGTGCTTATCACGCAGTTGAGCGCATATTAAATTGTAGAAACCAGAACCTTGACAGTGTAGTCATCTGAGTTCAGCATCGGCTCCCACGAAATTCGTGCCCCAGTCGCTGTACAGATGTCAACAAGGACCTCTTCGAGAGATGAAGCGGCGAAAAGCTGCTGGTTGGCCCCGAAGGTCCAGCACTTTTGCTCACTTTTATGATAGTGAAATCATCCCATCACGAGAGAGTTTTACTAAAGCTATTCAAGATTAATAATATTTTATATCATATGTTTGTTTTCTACTATTTGCAACTATTGGTGTGTGAATAAATCATATTTACTTCATCTCAATCGCAGTGTAAAAGTTTAACATTTGATCTCAAGAAGGTGACGTGAAATACAATTATTGAATAGAACCAACTTTGCAAGTGAAGTTCGATTCCAATTGTATGAACGTTGTCTTCGAAGAGATCAGTCCCACCCCTAGATGCCAAGACACTTGTAGATACCTTTAACCCTGAAGCTACGGTGATTCTTTAAAATAAATGAACACTCAGCGCACGCCAAGCGACGAGGAAGATGGAATTGTTAGTTTTTAGCTTTCAAAATTCAAAATTTGTGGCAGCACTAGCACAGAGCAGAATACTACCATTTGATCTCTTCAAAGGTGACATTCATACAATTGGAATCGAACTTCACTTGGTAAGTTCGTTCTATTCAATAAAAGCTAGGAACCTTACATCTAATCCCATCGGGTGTAAGGTCTTTTCAGATAATACCAGAGTTAGCATTGGCTCAGCCACGATTCAGAGGCGCTATTCCGCAGTCATATTCCAATAAAGACATACCATTCACCTTCACTCGGAGCTTGCTTTTTTTACGCCTTTTAGCCCTTTCCATCATTGACGAACGCGTGGGACGTCGCCGGGAACTCGGACGCAACGGAGCATCCCGGGAGTCTCCAACAGATGGGTTACAAACTCCGGAGAGATAGAGCCTGTTTTCGTTACTAAATAAAGTTCTTTTGTTTCAACTTATCATAGTCTACGGTTATTTGGAAGAAACCCGAGCAATCTCTAACGGTTTCGAAAAGTTTAAAAAAGCTCATTGAATAATCAAGAAGTTCATTATGATCAGTTTTCTCTTGAGCAAGATTGAGACTTTTTGCATGTCTTTTTTAGTTTCAAAGATTCACAATTGCGTTCATCGCAACTTACGGTATCACTTTCCTCGTTTACTGCCTACTACTAAAAAGCATAAGTTTGATTCCAATTTTTATTATCCAACTTATAAATCAAAGCCCACAGGAGGGGTGAGGTAACATTTTTTTTACATTGGAATTCTTCGTGTAAAGCTCATGTCCAAAACAGGCTTTAGGCTCGATCATACAAATGAAATCTATGGTACGAGAAGACTTGCAGCTTTTTTAGCTTTTTAAAATTTGTTCGTTGGGAATGAAATTCATATTAATTCATATTTTATTTCATTTATTTCAAAATGTCTATATATGTTCTAAGGATAACACTCATTACAGGAACAATTTATATTTTTTTCCTAAAAAAATGTACAATATATACGAGCAAGTACAACTTGTATCGGTATCTATAAGATCCATTAAGTCATTCATGATAATAATAATAATACTATACACTACAAAGAGAAAAGAAACATTAATTTTACATAATAACAGAAATATTTTATGAATACATGCATATATCGCGAATTTATTGTATTCATCATGCACGAGATTTATATGCTGTCCTGACACAGTATTCTAAATAAGCTTCCATTAGAAAATGATCATTCACTAGTTTCATATCAAATTACTAAAACAGTTTACTATAAATGAGCGCCAAATATCGCAGATCATGCATGACTATGCCTTTAACATAAAATGAACACCATCTCAAGTCAAAAGTTCAAAATTTAATATTAGAATCGGTTGAAAAAATGAAGGAACTATAATTCTTTTGCATTGCTGCAATGATTCGTGCTAGTTTTCATTTCTAAAACAGTACTTTTGTACTCATTTTTTCAGTTTCAACACGAACATTTTTTTTTACAATAAAATTGTTATTACTGTTATTGTAAATCCCCTACACTTATCATCAAATTAAAAAACTACAACATCAGACAGTAGCAAGTAGACTTTATCAGTAAATTCATCGAAATCCTTATTCAAGTAAGAATAACGATGATCAGCTGTGTGTAGCAATAGATTTTCTGTACAAGAAGTGTGCATTGCAATATGCTTGCCGAGAGAGCCTGCTCTTCGGCTAAAATACTGAAAGGTGTCCTCGAAATAATCTGCAAAAAAAAGAAAGAGAATACAAATTTGCAAAAGATCGGGTCAACAGCACGCTTGGTGCATTGTATTCCTTAAATTGATGCTCACTGTGAAGGCAATAATTGTGCGCAGAGGCGCCGGCAACGTACGGGCCGACCATCGTCTGTATTGTACGTGTAAACGTATTGAATAAAATGACTAGCAGTGATATAGAATAAATCTCTCCTACGCATCAATCGGCCGTGGGTCCTCGTCCTGAGTTTCGTCGTCGTCGCCGTCGGCCGCTGACTCTCTTTGCGCGAGTGTAACCGCGCGACGATTCGAGCGATGATTCCACCGTATAAATGACACATGACTCGTCGGGACACTAGCCCGAGCGCCTGCGATGCGTCAAACTACCACTATTGCTGTGATTGGCCGGTGACATTGGAGCGACGGCATCGTCGAAAAAGATCAGCGGCAGCTCCGAGTGATGATGAAAGACCGGCGTCGTGTCCCAGACCGTGCGGCACCGAGTCGATTTGCGCCAGTGCGGAAGCTGAATACCAAGACGCTGACAATCATGCGCGTACGCCATAAAAGATTCGCAGTAGCAGTTCTCGCTCGGACACTCGCACATGTCCTGCAGGCAGGCTTTGTAGTACATGGCTGGATTGACCTTCCGATGACAGGATTCGAAGATCGTTGAACGCAGCCGGTTGCACAATCTATCGATGCAATGAAAGTATGTAAGTGGACGTGACTGGTAATAACAAAGGCAAAATAATCGATCCAATCGAAGTGTAAGAGATACTAACCGGTGGTCCTTTCGTAGCTTGCATCCCCTTTGCACTGTGTGATGCTTAGTCCTCGAGCAAACCCTCTTGGTACCGACGGCCCAGGAATTTCCGAAATTCACCGGATCCGTCATGAGCTTGCCCTTACGATTCAGCATGTCGTCCTTTGGTACAGAATTGAAATTACCGCACAGGCCGCAGAGCTTGTTTCTGTAGGTGGTGGGCGCCGAGACCTCCAGAAAGCTGATGCCATCCCACAGTATCTTGATGCCCAGGAACGTGCTGACAACGATCGAATCGAGGGTGCGGTTTATGTCCACGCGATTGTTCATACGGTAGGGCACCTCGACTCGCTGTCCGTTCACCTTGACTCTCATTTTTTGACCGAGATTGACCTTGAGATCACCGATTTTCAACGATATCGTCTTGGTCCAGGCCGAAAGCCGAGTCGATCGAGCGTCGTTCGTCACTCGTATGCTGAACGTCTGATTCGCGCAGTCGCTCACCAACTGGTACTTGCAGCTGCCTCGAAACGTGAAAAATTTGCCGTCGAACGTACGGTAATGCGGATCGCCGAAAACCGTGCAAACTCCGTCGCCTAAAATTCAGATGAATGAGAATAATCATAATGTAACTGGTACTATATTGACTTTATGAAAATAATGAGCTTACTTTCAACGCATCTGGGACAGCACTGGCCTTCGGGCAGCTCCAGTCGTGAATTCGGTGGACAAGGCGTCGATAGAGGCGGACACATGGACATGGCACAGCGCACCTTGCCCTGCTGGCAAGCGCACGACTTGCACGCGTCTAACTTCCAAGTCTCGCCATCCTGCCTAGGAGAAATTCAAACGTTTAAACCCCGCTCGTCGATTCAATTCGTTCCCTTCTTTTTTTTTTCTCATTTTTTTTGTGTGTTTCAACGTTAGTATTTAAGCATGAGTTTTATGAGACATTGAGTAATACAAATACAAGGGAATGAGATGCTGTTCATTATACTTTATTAACATTAAAATGTTTTGTGCTTGTTAGGTGACATGGATGATTCGAGCGAATTGTTCATGTTTTTTTTTAGTATTTATCGGTTTATTTTTCAAAGTTCAGAATGAAAGAACTAAATTAGTTGCTGGGAAGCATGCTTATCAATAATGCTAAGTACAACTTTGTAGGAACAAAATTTAAGGAATTGATTTCATACATTTAGCTTATACTTAAACTTATCAGTTATCAGTATTGTGTTATGCAAGTTCTAAATACCCTATATCAAATTCATTATCCTACATAAATTTTTGTACTTAATGATCAAAAAAGAATTTCTCAATATACAATCATTATTTCGAAAAACGTATCCATTTGTTCTTGCAACATTTTAATAATTTTATATAAATATATCTATATATCAATATATTTGCAGTGATTTATAATCTTGTGATGTCATTCAAAATATATTCAAATAAATACACAAAAAATACCATGAAATTATAATACTGTATGAAATTTATCGGTTCTACTGTCATGATTGTAACCGATTTGCGGTGCAGATCATATTAGTGATGTTATTTATTGTTTAAATTCTATTAGTAAACATAAGTATACGCAGTAAATTTTTATTTTCTAATATATCAAATATTCACAACCTCAGGTTTGAACGCTTTCGTGCACATTAATCCGCTGATACGGAGTCATTGGCTCATCTCGACGTACGTGACATCATCGTTCGAAAAAAATCAGTCTAAGTTTTGTACTCATACACGTATATCTAATTTTTATGACACTTGGGGTCACAAATAAGTACAATATATACATCTCGTATAAAATTTCAATAGTATTTATAGAAATTATTATTTTAAATAAAACAATAACACATAAAATGACCTAATCGTACATCATAGCGCCTATATCTTACAAAGCTCTAAATATCAATTGCATTCAGTTATTTATCATTTATCAAAGGCTTGAAGTGGATAAAGCATTGAGATTTGCTTACACCAAAAGTTGCTGAGAGAAAATAAAATTTGATGAGCCTGGAAGACTGTAACAAGAACGTACTCGAAATATTTTACATGAAATTACAGCTAAAAATACTGGCACTGTAAGATAACGTGTCCGGTGTCACATGAAGTAATAAGCTAATAGTATAAACAAAAAAAAACTAATTCATCGAAAGCTTATTTGTGGGTCGCATCGTATTAACTATGATGGAATCAAAATTGAAGTTCATCTGAATACTTTACATTCAAAATGTAGAGAAATGTAAAGATTCTTACAGTTTTAAAGTTATTTTTTTAAATAAATTTGTTGCATACATCGTGAGAAAAATTGTGAAATTTACATTTTTCAAATTTAAAAAATTTTTTATAATCTTAAAAACAGGCTTTTTAAGCGATCAAACTAAAGATAACGAGTAAATGGCTCTTACTCGTCAAGTGCTTGAGCCAAAAGAAATCGTTAATTTAAAAGGAACAATGAAACTTTTTTTACAATGACATCAAAATCCGATTTGAATTTTCTTTAATGTTCATTTGTTTGCTCTATTATTTCAAAATAACAATGGGGTTCGTGCTATTTCTTGTTTTGCTAAAAAAACCCATAACTGTAATCGTTGAAAAATATACTATTTCCCGATTTTGAAAAAAGTTATTTTAAGCTTGTTTGGATTTTACATTATTCGAAAGAGGTTCAAAGCAGTCTTAAATCTAGCTCGTAATTTTGAATTTTCATCGTATCAATTTTAAATCTTTCATAGTTTACGCGCTACCAGCCATAAACAAATCGATATACAGCATATATAAGGATTATTAATAAGCTACATGAACATCGGAAGAAAGTCACATTTGGATGGATTTGAGATTCTTAAGTAACTTGACGATTTTACTAGTGCATTGACCATTGAAATGGAACTACTTTCATTGTAAGCCATGTACGCTCAGAAGCACGCATCACGAGCTCGAGTCAAATCGGCAGCACCGTGACCACATGTACGCTCACCCAATCACGCGCAATAACATACACACGTTACATATGAAACAAATGAATTAATGATGCAATCTTGAATGAGGCATATGTGAGTGCAGCGTGTAAGTGTATGTGTCGAATGAAGCAGGTGTTAAATGTATGTAGGTGTTACGATGATGATAATGATGATGATGATGATGATGATGATGATGATAGCGATGATGAACGAAACTATGGCATTGATTAATTGCTGTTTACTGCCCGTTGGCATAAATTTGTTGTTGTTGTTTTTTATTCTGATTAAGCGCGAAATAGGTACGCAGCAGCCGAGACGTGCAGAAGCAGCAAGAGCGCGATAAAAGTACTCGCCCCGTAAGTTTTGCCGGCGTAGGTGCAGGCCGCTCGGCTCTCCTCGATCAGCGGGCACTGGGGACAGCAGCGACCCGGCAGCTTGGTCTGGTACTCGCTGGCGCACTCGAGCACCGGGCAGGTCTCCTTGGCGCAGTGTATGGCCGCGTCCTTGCAGCTGCAGCGCGTGCACTCGTCCAGATTGAACTTGGAGCCGGTGTTGTGCAGGGCCGTGCCGAGCATGCAGGCGCCCCGCGGCGGCAGCAGATACTTGCCGAAACCTGCGATTCGTTCATTCGTTCGTTGCAGTTTTTGAAATGTATGAGACGCGCGTAATACGAATTGCCTTGCGCTTACCTTTGCACTTGGGACAGCAGTCGCCCGGCACGTACTGTATCCTCGAGGCCGGGCAATGGAGCACGGGGCAGGCCTTCTTGGCGCAGGTGAGCCGGCCGTTGTTGCACTTGCACGTGACGCAGGGATCCTCGGCGGTCATGACCGAGCGCTCCTCCGTGACTTTTTGGCCGTTGACGCGGCAGCCCGAGCAGGTCGAGCAGCACTGGCCGGGCTGGGGTGGCGTCGGGTTTGAGCACGGCGTGTAGCAGCGCAGCCTCGACTCCGTGATGACGCCGGCGTTGCACGAGTATATTCGGCACGGGTCGTTCGGCTCGGCCCACTCCGTACCCGACGGATGGTGAATGTTGTTTTTCACGCAACCTGCGACCAATCAAATTTATGAATTACCTGCGATGCTTCAATGCTTAAAGTAACTTCGATGTGCCGACGAAATGCATCGAACGTTAAAGTGCTTACTGCAGTTCGATCAAACTTTTCTTAAGCTCGAATATTGGATTATTTTTTTATAATTGCTTCGACTAGTCGAAACTGTCACCAGTCATTTAAGTCAACGTGACGTCAAGGGCTCGTATGAAAAGAGAAGAAACATATATCAAGAAAATTTTTCCTGTTAATGTATAAACTTGCATCTGGATTTAAGCTGCTTCTAATAACTATTCTCGTGATTTTATTGAGCGATTTTGGTCAAATTGGTATTGGTTAATAATTAAAATATGACCATAAAAACGCAGTACCAATTAATTTTTTCAACAAATGTGTATGATTAGAACCACTTTAAATACAATAATACCACTTTAGGCCTCTACCACTAGATGGCGAATTAATTTATCTTCAAATGTACCAGTAACAAGTAAAAATTATTTTATCGGTCAACGCCCGGTTTTAAATTACAATACAGATTAAATCCTTTTATATTTCTACTCTAAAACTAGATCCATGGTTTTTTCATGCTACTCTATTGTATTTATGATATATTTTTCCTATGATCCAAAAAATTCCTCGTGTTTAAAGTTGTTGGTGAAGCGTTTACTTTTTAAGTTAAAATTTGCTAAAATAAAATAATTTTAACCGTCGATAGGTTAGAGCGTTCAAAAAAATTTATGGGGGGAACCAATAAAATGTAAATCAATTAAGGGACACACTTAATACAGTATTTATATATCATCATTGGTTTATTCGCTCTTCTCTTTCTATCTCTCTCTTTCTCTCGTAAATACCCAGCTGTCTACGTCACAAGGTCGTTCAAAGGCCAGTCCTCTTTTTCATCTCTCTCTCTCCTTCTCTCTCTCGCACTTTTCTCTGTCCCTTCGCGAGGGAACTTGTATGTTTGTATGTATACTCATGCGCGTAGATCCGAGGCTTCCAATACGATTACTCGGTAAACAAAGTAAAAAAAAAAAGAAGGAAAAATAACCACCCGTACGGAGTAGGTAAGTACGTATACGCGTATATATTCTATTGCCTCATCTTGTGTTTCATCATCATTATCGTTATCTTCGTGATCTTCTCTTGGCATTGCAAGCGCGAGCGAAAGAGAGAAAGAAGAAAAGACTACAGACCACGCGGCGAATGAAAAACAAAATGAAAGAGGGAAAAGTAGTCGTTGACTATATAAATGTACGTTTGATCCAGCTGTGCAAGGCGACAAGGCGCCATGCTGGGCACGTGCTCATATAGGCATGTAGAAGCAAATACCACCCGATACGAAGTGTGACTCTATTAGTTTTTATTATTTTAATTATTTTGGACTTTCCTTCTATCGCTTCGCCACTGCAAATTATTATAGAAGTCAGTGTTGAAAAACTCACCCTTGCATTTTTGGCAGCAATCGTCCTTTCTTGGATCAAGGAGCATGTAGCACCCCTCGATGCTTGGGCACTGCTGCTTCAGACATTCCACAAAGCCATTCTGCAAATTATATTAAAAGAAGTGAATGAAGAGTATGAATAAATACATGAGGAATCATTTACTCGAGACTTTTCGACCACATCCATCAAATTCCAACTATAGTTTAACGGTCGCTATGAATTTTTTATCAACTTATTGGTAAAGTACACGCGAATCACGTATTTTTCGGAGGACACGTATTTCTTCAGACCACCGCTAAAACCACGATTTTAGCTGCGTTGCAATGAGCTCGTACGTGAAAAAAAACGATATTCGTAATAATTGAAATGCAAAAATTAACGACGATCCTTGAAAAATCGGTCATTATTATCGTCTCTACGGAGTTTCCAACCATAAACGAGCGTAATCAGAAATCTATGCAAAGGCAAGTTTTTAATTACGTATTTGCTCGATGTTTATGGTCTTTGGTTGCGCACAACACACCAGTAGCAGCTATATAGCAATATTTTTTGCTAAGAAAAATATTAGCAATGCGGTTATTTTATGCTTCTATTTTCTCTCTCTTTCTCTCTTTCTAAGCCTGCGTGTCTTTTAACTTTGTAGCCGCTTAATATACGCACGTTTTACACTTTGTTGACGAAGTAATAAAAATTTCCTCGACCACCGTCGGGTTTACAACAATGTTTTAATGTATAAGCTTTATGCGTCTCACGCGTTTGTTTGTCTTTTAATTTCACAAGCTCCCGTCGCGAAGTCTAGCGCGAGCGTAAGCAAATATTGTAATAGTCCTCGTGCGTGCGCACGCCGAGATCAAGTCAATCGAGACGTCAAAGTCGCGCGCGGTCGAAATCGAAAAACATCGAGCGAGCTAGCGAGAAAAAAAATCAGGTTGCGCGTCCTGAAAAAGCCAACGATCATTCGTATGCATGAATTATGTCACGAGTCGCGTGTCTGAAATATATATAAATGCGAACGATTCGCAAAAGTCGATCGGGTACGATCGTTAGTGGCAGCTGATCGGCTGCAATGGGATGCGCTTGGCAGCTGACGATACATGAACTATAAACGACCAGTTATTGTTCGCTATATAGCTGCGCCTCGTTCTCGTTCTCATCAATTCATATCTGCAAAAGCCACGTACATGTATATCGTAGAGGTGAAGCACATGTACAAGCAGTTCGTTCGAGATGCAGAAGTTCAAGGTCGTATATACCGATGAGAGCCGAGCCGCTTCTCGCTTGGCTTGTCCCTCTTCTGGCAACCAGAGAGAATACTCAATTCTTACGCTTGCACGTCGTAGGTGGAGTAATGATGTCTATATAATAGATTACTCGCGAGGATAAGCAGTTTGATTTTCTCCGTCAATAAGTTTAGTAAACTTCTTCTCTTATTTTCTTTTAATCGTGTTACTTTATATATTGTAAAATAAAGCTCGGGCTTTGAGCTCAAAATTATGAAAAATGAATTTTGTAAACTTTCTCTCTTATATGAAGAGATTTTAGAACCAAAGGAGTTTGAACGCTCGAAAACAAATGCACATGTCTTGACTTACAGACGCGTTGAAACCTCCCAGCGGCACAATTATAAGTATGCAAAAGATGCGGTGATTCGCGCGCTTTTATGGTTCACACTCGAGTCACAAAGACGATCCGCGATCGATGCTCGCATGTGTTATCATCTCGCACGAGGCGGCACAGCAATACTACAGAGAGTGAGAGATGATGAGTCTCGAAAACAAATCTTCATCTGTGTATTTATATGTAGGCTCGATAAATCTCGATCTTTGACATCGTTTTCCATTGTGTCAGAGTGCCGCGAAGGAGAAAAAAAATCACGCGTTGCGCTAGTTTCGCCCGACTCTCGTGTATAGCCATATCGCGATTCGTATACGTAATATATTTTTGTGTTTGTATAATCAATTTAAACGGAGCTTTGCTCACGCACTATTTGCATTGAAATTTGTTTCTCTATCTCGGTTACAAGACGAGAAAGAGGAAGATTTAGAGAATTCCGGTTTTGTCCTGTCCAATGGCAATTATTCACGCGCGCGAAAATTCAAATTAAGATAAATGATGCAAATGTTTGTCTTTTACCTTGCATATACAGTTGAAGCATTTGGTATTTGGAATTTTGTCGACGGTAAAGTCCTCGCCTTCAACGTCGCAGGTCTCTCGGCTACCTGTAAAGAATCAGCGACAAAAAAGCGATAAGTCATCTATTTATTGAAATACACTAAAGGTTTCAAAAGTATGAATAATTACGATCGCGATTCAATTGTCAATAGCTTAACGCTCTTGCACCTGCGAGCATACAGACTAGAGTACATGAGAGAACGTGCCTCGTGCATATGTATATAATGCAGCGATCGCCTCTACATAAACGCATTTGCGCGCGTGGTATACACAAATGTACTGTACGAGGCAAAAGAGCGCGCAGTAGCGGTAGCGGTGACATTTTGTTTGAGATTCTTATCTAGCATACGACGTATTTAAGGCGTATACAGCGGAGATTAGAATGTGTTTCAGTGCATATATACACAGAGCTCGAGGATTACTGTCACGTGCAGTCTGTGTCATGTACGCGCCCGTTTAAAGTGCTAATGTTGCAGCAGGTAACTTGCAGCACGAGTCGTGCACACACGTATATGTACTTGCGCGCGTTATTTCTCTCGCAGGTTCGTAAACGCCTGGGCAGATTATAACGAGTTCTTATGTACGCATCGTTACGCAGTATACGTGTTATTAAAGCCAGCCACGAAGAATGTTACCCGAAAATCTATGTGGCATGAATCGACAGATCTCGCCTCGATTCGTGTATGACCAATATAACTTAATGACTTTTCGTCGAGTTATCGTAGCAATTATAACAAAAAAAAAAATAAAAACAAATTCCTCGCGACAATATCTTCTCGTTTCGATCAATCAGCAATTGATTCGACTCGTTAAGATCATCATTAACGACGCATATTTGGATTTGACTCGAATTAACGTAACGCTGGACATGACACACGAAACTGCATCTGCGAGCACCAATAAATTGCAACTTTTTTAACTCATTGTGCAACTTTTTTCGAGTCTAAAGGAATATGTTAAAATTCTTAGTTATTCGTATGTGTATGTATGAATTGCGAAATTGCATCGTTCGAATAAAATATTTTACGCAGTGTGATAAGCGATTATCGCGTACGAAATCAATTGAAGTGCTCATCATTGTGTACATATAGACGTGCATTTCATTCCATTGTGATGTAAATAGAAATTTCGTTGAGAGAGAACCTCATTGAAATAAAATATCTTGTTTACCGTACTGAACCATGCGACGGTATTTAAGATAATTCGATTTGAATAATTTTCAAGTTTGATAATCGGAATTTGATTTTGATTTGCCAATCAAAAAATTATTCTTTATGAAGATATCACATACTCAGCTCCAAGCTCATTTTATAATTAATTTATTGTTTTACTAGCGATCAGTCTAGAATCAAAGCTAAGGTATACAACGACCTCTCGTTATCTAATGTAATTAATTGCAATTTTGTATATGAAGGCCCGCTAATTAAACGATATATACAAACTGCACCCATCACAAAGTTTCATAACGCTGATAGCGTGCGAAAGCTCGTGTTTATGTATGCGCGATTGTGCTTATAAAGTACGTAATAAGAGAATCCAGAAATGTATATAAATAAAAAAATAATTTTGAATTTAAGGGGACCTTACACCTCAAAACTGAAAAACCTCAACGGATAATGCAATGAACAAATGAGCTCAAAATTCAACCCATATTAGATCTTGAATACTGCCGTGTATATGTGCAGTTGCTGCCGAGTCAAAATATATTATACAATATATCTTCACATAGGACCAATTCTCTGTCAACGCACCAGGTCAAAACTTTTTTCGTGTATCTGAAATGATGAATATTATTTTTGTTAAGTACACGTACAATTTTTGAATCTCTATGAGTTGACAAAGAATCAGCCATATATATTATAAATGCTTATGAACATACATTAATAATAACAACGCAAATTAACAATAATAATAACATGTGAAAAACATGTCCACATATTGCACATGTTCGTGTACTCGAGTGTAGCAAATGAATATAATTATTATCATCAGTATCGTCGTCGTCGTCGTCGTCGCCGAGGCAGCATAAATCGAGCGCAAGCCTTTCATATTATTATACCTGTCGTAATAATGACAATTATGAATTTCAGCTTAAAGCAAGTCGAGTGCGTGTGTACGTGTGCAACGATTCTGCTTGTAGTATTATGCTATATATGCTCATGCGCACGCGCGCGCATATTATATGTATAAGCAACGCATTTATTGAATCAAGTTGCTGCTGCGTACCTGCGCGCAAATATGTATGAATACAGTGGCTCAATTGTCGAGGACGAGAAAAGCGCGAGAGCTCGTTTGCAATTCGCTGCACCGTATAGCACACCAACACACGCGAACTCGATGAAATACGAAAAATTGTTCAGCTGTTTATCTGCGCTTACGAAACAGGTCGATTTAACTAATCTATCACGACTGGATCAGCTCGTGTCTCACTTGGAGCTTGTGCAGAAAATCAAAAGTTTTACCAAATACACAAGATGTTTTGATGTTTGGTACGAACCTTTGATACTTTCGGAAGCTGCAACGGATGGCCGCGCGCGAAACGCGAGCAATAGCAGGATCAGGGCCAGATGTAACGTCATTCTGGCTGTTGGTTCCATTCTGCTGCTGCTGCTGCTGCTGCTCCAAAAACGCTTCCGAGCTCTTTCGTGGCATGTAATTCACTTATCTGTGAACAAGGAAAAATAAATTATTATATTATCCTTTATCTAATTCTTGCATTCATTGAGCTATTTATTTTCTTAGAGTAAGATTCTTGCACCTGTGCTTAGTCGAGTGAGCATTATATGCACTAGTGGACGCGTACGTAGGTACGAATAAATGTTATAATATGAAGTGCATAAATACATATCATAAATATCGCTGAAAGTGATTGTCACGAGAGAGAGAGAGAGAGAGAGAGGGCAAAAAATGTATCTCCGTCGTTAATAAACTAATTCAAATTTCAAAAATAACAACCGTATCGTATCTCAACGCGTTGCTTATAAACATGTATATATTAATGGAAAAAATGAGGTAATGTAGATTACGAAGTCTTGGCTCGTTTTGTATACACCATACGCTTGCGTAGGGTATAGGCTCGCGTGGAGCTCAAGTATAACACGAACACGACAGGCGCGATTCGATGCGAGTCGCACGTATTATAAACTGCACTGAGAATGCCAAACTGCATTATAGAATGACAAAGATTTATGATCTCGACAACGTGGGCTCGTGCACTGCCAGTGTGTCCATTGATTTGTGACAGATCAAATTGATCTCAGATGTGTACGCCTGCTTGGTTGCAACCGTCGATGCTGATTTTTGGTGAGTTTCGGCAGCTCTACAGGAGACTCGTGCGTGTAACAAAAAAATTGTATATCTTTCTCGCGATTGAGTAACTATTCGATTAGAATTAATGTTGAAGAAAGGAAGAGATCCTGTAATGAGTTTGAAATTAAAAATTTTACTCTGAGTAGACAGTGACGGTACGAGCCCTGATTCATTATCAGAGATGTTTCAATATACTTCTAATTATCCATGTGAGTGTGTATACGTGTGTGTGAGTGTGCCTTTCTATTATGAGCGTGTTTCCAGAAATTGTTTTTAAAATACGCACTCTGTGCGGGATATTTTACTTTGATAAAATCGCGTCTTGTATAATACAGCACGTTCGTTTATATATAAAATATTTTTTGGAGCGTCGAGAGAAGTGGATGAGCTCCAAGAAAGACGACTTTTGGAACAAGCTCACCCAAGAAGCTATGTTCCAAAAAAAAAATAACCGAACATCGGCAGGCCTCAAGCAGCATTTTGAGGTTTACCTTTTATACAGAGCATTCGAAGAACGAGCTAGTGGTAAAAGCATCTGGAAGGTAAAATTATAACTTGGATTTAATTTTCTTTAGATTAATTTTATATTGAATGTTTCAATTGAGTTCCAGGAAACCGTACACTGCAAATCTACAATCTATTATTGTTGACTACTTAAGCGCTCGCGGGCGCACTTTGCTTGCGGTTGCCGGCGCTGCGCCACCTAGTGGTCACTGGCGAAGCTTCTCAATGTAGAAGTGGGCGAGGAGGCTTGGAAGAGAACGAGAAATAAGAAGAGATTGTTTGCGGAGAAACAAAGTTAGTTTTTTATTAAAAGACTTAAAAGAAGAACTTTTCAGGTCCGGGTCATGGATTTGCTCCAAAATTTTTTTGCGGTCTCCTGAGACCCAATACTGAAGCTCACTGTGCTTAGTTTGATCCAATGGGCCTTAGGGCCCATTTATTAGAGGATTTTCCACATTATAAAAAAATCTTTGTTATTTTCTATATCGATATAGAAGTACTTAAACGAAAAAAATGCAATGATCAAAAGTTTTAAAATTTTTCAAAGAATCTGCTTGAATTATTTCAGAATTTTTGGGACCATCTATCTCTTAATTCAAGAAGCCCAAATTTGACGTTTTTTTTATAGATTCTAGGACTTCTTAAAGAGAGTGGTAGATGGTCCCAAAAATTCTGAAATAATTCAAGCAGATTCTTTGAAAAATTTAAAAATTTTTGATCGTTGCATTTTTTCGTTTAAGTACTTCTATATCGATATAGAAAATAACAACGATTTTTTTATAATGTTGAATTCCTCTAAAAAATGGGCCCTGAGGCCCATTGGATCAAACTAAGTACAGAAAGCTTTAGTAGTGGGTACCAGGAGACCGCAAAAAAATTTTGGAGCAAATCCATGACCCGGACCTGAAAAGCTCTCCTTGTTAGTCCCTATCCAGCCAACAACCTTGACAACTCGAACGCGTCGAGTTGTAGAACGTCTGGAAGTCAGAGAGATTTGTGTAAACTCTGAAGATCCGGGAGAGAACACGTCACTTGGGTCTTGGTGACTCTGGGTAAGAGTGCCGCAATTCTCCAGAGATAGCCGGGAGATGTGCTCAGCGCAAGAGCTCACGAGCGAAAGCGCGGGACGGCGACGGTGGTGGGGGCCGCCGCTTGAGTCACGTCTGAGAAGTGGCGCCGATCACAGCGAGGCTGAGAACCGGCGCCGATCCGCAAAGCTCGGCGTGATTTGGAGTGCGCATCTATAATACGCGACTTGGCGTACATCAATCGCTGAGACCGGCTCTCGAGAATAAAACGCGNGGGGGGGGGGGGGGGGGGGAGTTATGACGTGGTAAGTCATATAGGCCAGCGTGACGCGCCGAGTCAAAGCGGAGTCGAGCTCACAATCGGAGCAAAGCTTTCGCTTGAACCCGGCGATCTGCGGCGGGCCGAACGGGTAGCTCGCGCGTGGGCCGCAGAGAGGGGGAAGCGCGAGCGGCCTCGCGTGGAACCGCGATGCGAGTAGCAGTTGAGTAGTTGACCAAATGCGAAATCAATCGGACGGTAGCCCAAATCGAAGCGTAGAATTCATAAGCAAGTATGATAGCTCGATGGATGTTTAATAATTACTCACTTATGATTTTAATAAAATCCAATTCCACAAATTATTCAGATTATACACTACAAAATAACTCCCTTGTGATATTATATATTCAAATATAATATTTCTTTAAAACAATGTTTCAATTATTTCCTCGTTTGAAATTTTTTACTTGTCTAAGTTCGCACAGTGATGATACTTTTTTTTCAAAAAGTACATTTGTAAGCAAGTATGACAGTCTGATCCCTGTAGTTCAAATCATAATTATAACTATAAAATGTCATTATCACATGTACAAAATAACACTCTAATGATATAATTATTTTATTATTTACCTATGATTATTATTTTTATTATGTACATTATTTTATTTCGTACATCGGCTATTAAAGGATAGGAGTGAAATTACGTTATATATGTGACACATAATTAATGACCTATGGAATAAATGAAATCAAATGTTTTTTGTCAAGTATTCAAGCAAAATTTTTTTTTTACAAATTCATTTTCCCCGGTTTTATAGTCTAGTACATTAATTCAACTTAATAGGGGCCAACATGTAAAATTTTATCGTTACAATAAACAGACATTGACTAAATTTTAGTTCTAAGCTAGTGCATCGAGCGAGCCGTCCAGGGCTATTTTCGTACAGTGATATTGCCACTTCCTGGGGAATCATCATTGATATATGCCACATTTACGCGACAACGTGTATATCGATCGATATATTAATATATATTGAATATACACAAATGTGAGACTACAATAAACATGAGACTGCGAAAAACGTGAGACCACGGTAACTTGAGGCCTGTACTTCAATTACCATCTTCAGAAAATTCGATGATCCGATCTGACGATTGAGATAGCAAATTGCAGAGCGCTGTAGTATCAAAACACCAAAAAGTAGCAATGCCAGAAATAATAACACGCAGTGTAAGAACACAAAAACATGAGACTAACAAAAACGTGAGACTACCAAAAAAAAGTGAGCCCTGTTCTATAATTGCTATTCAGGCAGTCGACAGTTTGAATTTGTTATTTAATAATGCAAAATTGTCTATGAGTTGTACCTTCATAACACCAAAAATTCAAAACACCAGAAAATTATAACGCGTAAACACGCACCGTTAGAACACGGAAACGCGAGACTGCGAAAAAACGTGAGACCGCGGAGAACGTGAGAACTGGAACTATTTTACCTCTATATCATCCATAATGTGTATTATTCGGATACCCAAATACGTTATATCGATTGGATTTTTCCGACGAATCTAATAGTGCATTCAGATTTTCGATATCGCTTATCTATTTTCGAAGAAAACGTAAAAAAGAAAGTTAAGGTTCTGAAACACGAAGTATATAAGGAGAGCGTGTCAGCGCTGCTTTTTCTTGAGTTTTTTTGATTATATATGTTTTACAACTATACTTGCCATGTGGAGCGCGACACGAGCTCCTCGATATATTGAAATTCAGCTTTTTCTCTCGTGCTTCCCCTCTTAATATTTTATTATGACTTGGAGCCTCTATATCAATGAATGAATGAGAAGCGTCTGTTGCTGTCTCTTAAATGCGATGATTTGGTCGTTCGCTTGATTCACGCTTCTAATCTTTCTTGACAGCCTCTCGCTACTTCTCTGCCGAAAGATATTCCGTTCTTGTTTTTTTTTTTCTTAACATTCCTCATTAAATTGTCGAAATACGTTATTGTCTCTTTGTAAAATGTGTAGAAAACTACCATAATTTCACAAAAGCATTTTTATCTTCTCAAGCCAAAAACGCTATAACGTACGAATATAAATAAATAAATGTCTCTCGCGCCAGACGTTAAAATATTAAAGCTCGCAAAATCCACTCGACATGGAAAATTCTCCGGAGGACACCGTTGTGGCACAAAAAATCGACGTCCATACCATCGCGTTTTTATCCTCAAACGTGTTTAGCGTCTAGTCGAAAATTCACCAGCTGAATCCTTGCCAAAGCTCTAAGAGGTTTAGCTGGCTTTCACGCAAAAAACCGCAGTGCCGCATTTTTGCCTTTTGTTTATTTATACGCTCTCTGATGATAGCGTGAGCAGCTGTAACGTCTGCGTGCGGAGTAATACATTTAAGCGAATAATCGTGGAAAAGACGTTTATTGAACTGGTCATTAGAGTAATAAAAATTAAAAAAAAAAGAACTTCATAAAAATGAAAAATTCTCGTATACTTGCAAATTAATGAGCGCTTCGCGAGGTGATAAGTTAAATACGCCGTTGGTGCACCAGCATAT